TGGCCTCAGAGACTCCACTCTCTCCTGGCTCTCCTCCTATCTATCCCAGCGCTCCTTCAGTGTTACCTATAATGCTGCCACCTCCCCCTCTCTTTTGGGGTCCCCCAAGGCTCTGTCCTCGGGCCCCTTCTCTTCTCCATCTACACCTCCTCCCTTGGCCAACTGATACACTCCCACGGCTTCAACTACCATCTCTACGCCGATGACACGCAAATCTACCTCTGTACCCCTCGCCTCACCCCTTCAGTCTCCGCCTGAATCACCCGCCTACTGAACGACATATCAGATTGGATGTCACTCCACTTCCTCAAACTAAACCTTTCCAAAACGGAGCTCCTAGTTTTCCCCCCAGCCCGCACCCCCCCATCCTCTCCATCATGACCAATAACGCCACCATCAGTCTCACCCGCAAGCCAAAGTTCTAGGCGTCACTCTAGACTCCAATCTGTCCTTCCAGCCCCATGTCCAATCGCTGGCAAATTCATGAAGGCTCCACCTCTGCAACATCTCCAAAATACGTTCGTTCCTAACCCCAGACACTACTAAACAACTCATTTACTCCCTTATTATCTCACGACTCGACTACTGCAACTCCCTCCTCACTGGCATACCTCATCACAGACTATCCCCGCTTCAGTTTATCCTGAACTCTGCGGCCAGACTCATCCACCTTACCAACCGCTCCGTATCCGCCACCCCCCTCTGTCATTCCCTCCACTGGCTTCCGATTGCCCAGCGCATAAAATTCAAACTTCTAACATTGACGTACAAAGCTATTTATAATACTGCCCCAAACTACCTCACCGACCTGATATCCAAATACCACCCTACAAGTACCCTTCGCTCCTCACAAGACCTCCTACTCTCTAGCTCCCTGGTCTCCTTCTCCCATTTCTGACTCCAGGACTTCTCCAGGTCTTCCCCCATCCTCTGGAACTCACTACCCCAATCCATCAGACTGGCAACTACCCTCCTCACCTTTAGGCGCACCAATCTCCCCCACTCCTCCTACCACTACATCCCCCACAGTCATTTCCTCCTGTACCACTATCCCCTCCCTCCTAGATTGTAAGCTCCAAGGAGCAGGGCCCTCGTACCCCTCGTGTATTGTTACTGTATTGTCTCATGTACTGTCTCCCACTATAATGTACAGCGCTGAGCAAACTTTTTGGCGCTATATAAATACTCTATAATAATAATATTAGTAAGGTTTATAGCCATGACGCCCTCACAATGAGTTTGCTGCCTGTGATCTCTGTCATCATCCAGACCACATGCCACTCAACAGACAGGGAGGGGGGATATCGGAGGAATCTGATTTCGGGGAGAGAGATACAAAATGGAGGGGGTTTGGAGCAAAATGGATGACCGCGTCCATCTCAGTGTGTGCATGATTGCTACACGCTGTAGTACACTCCATGTGCATGAGGCCTTAGCAGAAATTTTGTAAGTTATGTTATGTTTATGTGTGCAAATAAGGTTTTTAGTTTTAGTTCAAAATAGCGATGTGATAAAAATTTGTGCAATTATTGTGCGGTCTAAAAATCAGTAGCACTTTCCTTTGTTCTTATGGTGCTATGCTTTCAGAAAATGTATGGTTTGGGGAGTTTTTTAAAAACTCTGAAAGCTGTAAGTGAAAATTGGAAATCTCCAGGTTTTTATAGAAAGTTGGGTATTTACAGTTTTTGTAATTTACTCAGTACAGTTTTGCTTTCCTATTTAAGAGGAATTCCTTAAAAATTGCAGTTTGTAACTGCTGATAATAATTTTATTATCAAAAAATATTTTGATAAACATTTGCAGGTTGGACAAAAAAAAAAGAAAAGACGCGTATGTGGGCAGCCCTAGGGTGTGATGTGCAAACCAGCTTCTAGAATAACACATGCTGCATGTTTACTTCACTAACATGCCTTTTTTTTTTCTAAAGCTTACTAATATCTAAAATTTTTTAATTTCCTTTCTTTTAGGTGTTTCTTCAAATTTTAGGTGTGATTGCTGTTGCCATCGCTGTCATTCCTTGGATATTAATTCCCCTGCTTCCTCTTGTGATTATATTTTATTTCTTGAGAAAGTATTTCCTGGAAACGTCACGGGATATTAAACGTCTGGAGTCAACAAGTAAGTCTTTATGCAGAAAGTAAGTGGCAGTGTTTTCTAAAGCAGTATAGTAACCCACATTAAATAGAACTTTACCCATAGCAACTTGATAAAAAAGAATGTTTTTTTTTAACAAGGAACATACATTGTACATTTAATAATTATGCTACCAGAATTAGTGTGTGCTGTAAATTCCCTCGAGCATTGTTACTGTTTCTTCCTGCTGGAGGCTGCCATTTTTCTGAAATTCAGAGCCACTGATCATCAGTTAATCTTTAGGCTGTCAGCAGATCAGCCTCTACATTTTTGGCACAGTGCTTAAAAATAGAGAGCAATAGAGCATGTGCAGAGTGAGACAGTGTGTTACTGGATTTTAAATAGTATAGGCACTAGGGTTGCTACCTCATCCCTTTAAAATCGAACATAATTTTGTAGGTTCTGTGGCTGATTAACCACTCGCCTACCGGGCTTTTATACCTCCTTCCTCCCCAGGCCAATTTTAAGCTTTCAGTGCTGTCGCACTTTGAATAACAATTGCGCGGTCAAGCAACACTGTACCCATATGAAATTTTTTTATATTTTTTTTCACACAAATAGAGCTTTCATTTGGTGGTATTTACTTGCCGCTGGGTGTTTTATTTTTGCGCTATAAACAAAAAAAAAGAGCAAAACAATTTGAAAAAAAAAGTTTTTCTTTGTTTCTATTATAAAATTTTGCAAACAGGTAATTTTTCTCCTTCACTGATGTGCGTTGTTGAGGCTGCACTGATAGGCAGCACTGATGGGCATTGATTGGCAGCACTGATGGACACTGATAGGCAGCACTGATGAGGTGGCACTGATAGCCAGCACTGATGGGCATTGATAGGTGGCACTGATGAGCTGGCACTGATAGGCAGCACTGATGAGCTGGCACTGATGATGGGCACTGCTGGGCACTGACTGGCAACACTGATGGGTGGCACTGACTGGCGGTACTGCTGGGCGGCACTGATGGATGGCACTGGTGGGTGGCACTGTTGGGCCCTCATGGGTGGCACTGCTGGGCACAGGTGGGTGGCACTGATGGGCACAGGTGGGTGGCACTGCTGGGAACTTGTGATGGCACTGCTGGGCACTAATCATCAGTGCTCTGATGATTAGGTCAGCAAGTAGTTAAGTGCAGATAAGGTACTCAGTGAGTTTAGTTACCACCTTAATCAGCCACAGAACCTGTGTAACTAATATGTGTTTGGTTTTAAAGGGATGAGGTGGCAACCCTAATAAACACTTATTTTTAATGTTTTACATAGCTATACCTGCAAAAGAGTGCAGCCTAGTAGTCTAGTAAGACTTAATTTTCTGGCTAAATGTCCACTTTAAGATGGTTGAACCACAAATACGGGACATAATTTAGCGTAAACGCAGTTCCTGGCACATACCTGCTACTATGCAAATTGCTGCTTCCCCTGGTAGAACTGGTACATTTTCTTCTTCTCAAAGAGAAGCTGCAATGATCTGTATGTACTGTCACATAGAGGGAAAAGGGTAAAAAGTGAAAAAATAATTAAAAAAAACCACCAACTTGGGGATAAGTCTTTCAGTTATACCTATAGCTCAAAGCCTTACCTGTCACCCACTAAGAAAAAAAAACACTGCTAATCATTGCACAGTCCAAGACAGTGTAGGGGCAACGTTACCCTTTGGTTTTCTGATGAAGTTATGTTGGAGGGCTTTTTTTATAACTGTAGCTACCCTTTAACTTGAACTGTTGTATTGCTGTGAACTTCTATATTGAGTTTTGCATATCTTCCTTTTTCGCTGTTTTGCAAGGTCTCACAGTTTTAAACCCAGATGTATTTATTATTTAATTACTCAATACAGTTTCATCTTACCTGTTAACAAATGATAGTGTTTAATTTAGGAAATAATACTGTTTGCGTGTTCAAAAATATTTTTTACTGAAACTGCTTTTATAGGTATTTTGGAAATTATTGAGGGACTTCAAGTCCATAATGTGCTTTTTAGAATATGTGTGATAATTAGGAAACTAACTGGGTAGCAAAAGGGTTAAAGAGCATATAAAGCAATACAATATCTTATAAGCTTTTATAAAACATGTCACCCTTTAATCTTAGAATTTAGCATCATACAATCTTTCCCATGCATTTCAATTACATGTTGTATTTCAAAACTATTCTTTATATTTTTTGAAAGTACCGTTTTTTTTCTGATTTTGGTACTTTATTAAAAAATTTATTTTTAGGCCTTAAATACACTACATTGCCAAACGTATTGGGATGCCTGCCTTTACACACACATGAACTTTAATGGCATCCCAGTCTTAGTCCATAGGGTTCAATATTGAGCTGGCCCACCCTTTTGAAGCTATAACAGCTTCAACTCTTCTGGGAAGGCTGTCCACAAGGTTTAGAATTGTGTCAATGGGAATGTTTGACCATTCTTCCAGAAGCGCATTTGTGAGGTCAGGCACTGATGTCGGGCGAGAAGGCCTGGTTTGCAGTCTCCGCTCTAATTCATCCTAAAGGAGTTATGTTGGGTTGAAGTCAGGACTCTGTGCAGGCCAGACAAGTTCCTCCACCCCAAACTCTCTTATTCATGTCTTTATGGACCTTGCTTTGTGCATTTGTGCGCAGTCATGTTGGAACAGGAAAGGGCCATCCCCAAACTGTTCCCACAAAGTTGGAAGCATGAAATTGTCCAAAATGTCAGGGGTTGGGCTTGGCCCCTCAGTTCACTGGAACTAAGGGGCCAAACCCAACCCCTGAAAAACAACACACACCATAATCTCCCCTCCACCAAACTTTACACTTGGCACAATGTAGTCAGGCAAGTACTGTTCTCCTGGAAACCACCATCCCCAGACACGTCTATCGGATTTCCAGACAGAGAAGCGTGATTTGTCACTCCACAGAACATGATTCCACTGCTTTAGAGTCCAGTAGTGGCATACTTTACACCACTGCATCTGACGCTTTGCATTGCACTTGGTGATGTAAGGCTTGGATGCTGCTGCTCGACCATGCAAACCCTTTCCATGAAGTTCTCTACACACTGTTGTTGTGCTAATCTGAAGGCCATACTGTGAATGATTTCCGGCAAGAAGAATCGCGATCGGGAACGCGCATGCACAAAGGAGATCCTGAAGAAGAATTGCCGGTTATGCGCAGGCGCACAGGAATGCGCGATCGCACACATGCACGCACACGTGCACACGCACGGCGAAGATTGGCGCCAGACGGGCCATTTAAGGAGTGCCTCTGCTCAGATTCAGTGCTGACTGTTCTTCAGCTCCCCCCCGTGTCCCGCTTGTTCCTGTACAATTCCTTTGTTGCTGACCCGGCTTGTTCCTGACCCGACTCCGATTACTCTCCTGCTCCTGGTTCCTGACTTCGGCTCTGCTCCTGACTTTGGCTTTTACTTCTGATTCTGTACCGCGCTGCCCGACTGTTTATGACCCCGGCTATCCTATGACTCTGCTCCAGTCCTGTGTCATTGCTACCTACCTTGCTCTGCTGCACATCTGGCAATCCACAGAACCTGCCTGGTCTATTTCTACGGTGCCCAAATCAGAGGATACTCTGCCTACCAAGGTCATCATCTGCAAGAGCCGCAAGCAACAACCACTGGCCCTCTTGTCCCCCTGGTCCCCAGACTCCCTCTGTTCCAACCTCAGCAGGATCAGGGCTAGTGACACAAGTGAGGCCGACCTCCTCAATTCAGTCTCCCATCAGGTACAATAAACATACGAAGTTTGGAGGTTTTTAGCTATTGACTCTGCAGACAGTTGGCGACTTCTGCACACTGCGTGCTTCAGCATGCGCTGACCCCGCTCTGTCATTTTACGTGGCCTACCACTTCGTGGCTGAGTTTCTGTTGTTCTCAGTTGCTTCCACTTTGTTATAATACCACTACCAGTTATCTGTGGAATATTTAGTAGCAAGGGAATTATACAGATGGACATATTGCACAGGTGGCAACCTGAGAATTACCAATTTTTTCACAAATGTTTGTGTAGAAGCAGTCTGCATACCTAGGTGCTAGGTATGTGTGAAATTGTGTGATCTTTGTTTAGAATTTCTCCATTAAACACACATCTCCTAAGTGTGTTGAATATAGATCTTATTAGGAGTGCCTTTAAATATGGTTTTGACAGGCTTTAGAAAACTGTGTTGATAAAGCTTGATGAGGTCCACCAAAAGCTTGTTTAAAGCACTTTCCAGCCAAAACTTCCTTCTTTGCTATAGACAGACTGGAGAAATCATACAGCTTTGGTCAGGTGATTATTTCTGGGATGCACTGCTATTAAGGAGAATGCTCCTAAATTCCACATGGAAACTTCTACAGGTTTGTTATTACTAGCTGTGCCTTCCTGTCCCAGTGACAACCAATCCCCTCATTTTCTGTTCTGTTACAGGAACTCAAAGTTAACTGAAAAATTTCCACTGAGGTCACAGGCAACAATAAAAACTTGACTGATGTGTATGCTCTATCCAAGTCCAAAAATTAAAGAAAGAAAAGTTTTAGTTGGAGCTGGGCATTAAAATATGGCCAATATTTCCATAAAGATCTATGTTCAACACACCTAGCTAAATCTGTAGGGTACTTGAAGCCTTGAAGAAGGCTGTCACACTTTGTACATGCTTGCTGAAGCTGATGCTGTTTGGACTAAGATTTACAAGCAAACAATCAAATTTAGGGTTGTAGCCTTCTTTGCAAACACAGCTTCTTTTATGAGCCCACTTTTAACTGCTACATAAAGCTGAAAGTGTTTCTAAAGGCATTAAAGTACAAAACCTTCTGCATGCAGCTTCCTCTACCGGTCCCCCCCTTGAGCCTGATCTCAATTTAGCAATGTGCATGAGAGCAGAGTCTCTCAGCTTGCCTCCTCATTGGCTAAGACATAGTAGTGGTAGATATTGGCTCCCGCTGCTGTCAATCAGAGCCAGTGAGGAGGAAGTAGGGTGGTGGAGGGGCGAGAAGGGCCAAGCCGAACATCCTATTTCTGTGGACACACAGAGCTGACTTGAGAAAGACCGCACTTGAGTGCTCCGCCCGCCATGGCACGAGACTTCCTATGATGAGCACTCAGGTGGGGGGGGGGGGGCAGGAACGCAGGTGGGGGGCCTGATAGGAGGAGGATTGAGGCTGCTCTGTGCCAACCATTACACAGGGCAGGTAAGTATAAAATGTAAACCTTTACAATCCCTTGAACTCCAGCAAAATATAAATAAACCATTGACATGCTTACTGTATACATGAACTGCTTTAGCTGATAAAATATTTGTATTTCTTTTAGCCAGTATTGTGATTCAGGTAAACCTTCCAAACTGCATAGCCAGGTTGGTGCCCTCCTTTTACTTCACTGCAACCAAGCAATATAAATAGGTCAGTGATATGTGTAATATTGGTAGATTTTTGCAATGCAGATACTTAGACTAGCTGCATTAAAACCCATTTAGAGAAATATGACTGGCTTAAGTGGTGCCTTTTTAAGAGGAGCTCTGGCAAGTGCTGCTTATATCAAATTCTAATACTACGAGCTGGAGATTTTGACCTTCCCAAGAGAGAAGCCATGACTCAAGCGCTAATAGCTGTATTATTCTTTTGTGAAGTTTGCTGGGGGGAATTTGCGTAATGGGGACTTGGTAGAATCTCAGAAGATATATACAATATATAAAAATATAAATGGCCTTAGTAGCTTTTTCGCATGTGCCTATAGAGAATAGGCTGTGGATACAAAGAAATTTTGTTTTCTATCTGTTCAGTGAAGAGGACTGGGAACTGCCAAAACCGGATCAGTAGCGTCCTAAACTTTAAAACATGTTTAAAGGCTAATGCACCTTTAAGGGAAAAATAAATGCACATTTTTTTGCAGGAAATGTGCAACGTCAGGCTTCTGCAGACACGTCCTCCAGCATTCTGCTCGTACCTCTGTACAGGCTTTCATTTAGAAAGCTGAACGTATGAATAGACTACAAGTATGTTGATCAGTGCACTCATAGTTCATTGAGAACTGCAAGCCATCTGCTGTGATGGTAGACAGGATTTGTAGTTTGTTCATTCACAGATTGATGTGAATGAATGACATGGCTGTGTGGGCACCTACTTTAAATGGGACAAGAACCCCTGCCCGCTGTCACAGGGAGAAAGTGGGGAAACGCTCAGGAAGTGGGGAGAAGTGGGGGTTGGGATTGGAACATGTTGCATATTACACCCTAAATACGGGTGTAACCTGTACGTGTTCCAAAGGTGAGCTTATCCTTTGATTTTAGGAGCTAATTTCCACTTTCCCAGTTTGCCTACATTTGCAAATAAAGCAGCAAAGAAAAGTCTGTACCATAGTTTTACGCTGTACAATTCCCATCGGTGTGGTTCAGTTAAAGGGTATGTATGCCCTAGCAGTTAACTGCCCTTATTTGTTGCATTTTGGTCCGTTGAGTATACCGTGGAAAACATTTGGTTGTGTCTGTCCAAAAAGTATCTGTTAATTCTGCCAGAAATCCAGTGAGCTGAAAACTTCCTGTAGTGAGCTGACAAAGCTTAACCGAATTCTGGAACAATGTTATCAGCCCTGATTTTTATCTGTGGGCTATTATATACTGTATAGCATTACCCTTTTGGGGGCCACAGTGTTTCAGGATCCCTCTAAGATTTGCATATTCAGGCTATATGCATTTTCCACGCTTGCATCCATGGTCAGTGAACAGTCCATGAGCTTGGTTTTTGTTATTTATTAGGGCATGTAACTTGGATAGGGTAATAGGGATTATAAGATGACCAACTTGACTTAATCAATGCAAAGGGACACCTTTCTTCCTATTTACAGAAACAGATCCTGAACTTTTCTTTTCCTTGAAAGTGGGCAGTCATTACATGTCAGTAGCAACTGCCCCTTACGAGCTAGGGACTTGCAGCCCCTCTGAAGGTAAGCTTAGCTTGTTGCAAACTATATGCAGATATATCTCCTCTCCCCCTGTCAAACTGCTTTCAGCTCCACAACCTGCAAACACTGCCAGCCCTCCTGGCTGCTCTGAAGATCTACCAGGACAAGGATAAAGGATTAAGCACAGCGCTGTCCTTTGACAGCTTGCTACATGTGGCAGACTCTCTACTTGTAGATCCCTAGGTGTGCTGATATACTCAATCTGTCCTTGCTCTAACTGCTCCCAGGCCTTGATCCTGTTCATGCCATGATGCTGATTGGACCCTCCTGAGCCATCCCGAGTCTAGCCTGGAGGCCAGCCCCCCTAGATCCAGGGGACCTCTGCCAGGCCACCTACAGGCTCCTCAGCACTCCATCTTCCACCCGACTCTCTCTGCCAGCTTGACTCTCCCATATTTATGGATTGGTCTCACCACTGTACCAGGCCTCCAAACCTGGGATTAGACTAGGTCTTCACCCCTTCTGCCCACTGGCTTCTGGACGTTTCCGTGGTACTCCAGAACAAGGTGGAGGCAATAATGTCCCAGCCTGTTAAGTCATCCAGCCTGACCTTCAGTAACCCAGCCTGTTTACAGACTCACACAGTTACCATGAGTCATACACAATACATTTACCTACACTGCTCTAGTTTCACTAGCACACTAGAGGGTGCTACATATAGAACACTTTCCCCCATGTTAAAGAGAGGGGGAAGTGTTCTGTTGTCCTAAAACACTTCCTTCCTAGAAATGCTGCTTCTTCATAGATATAGTACAGTGAGCGATACTTAAGAAAACTGTAGACTGTAGCTTTTGTGCTATGGTTTTCAAAATACATACTTTATCTTCGTAAAGTTGGGCCGAACTGGCCTTTGTTCAGCGAATGTTCTGAACCCATGCCACCTGTACCTTAGCAAGGAATGATTCTGCACAGCCGTCACACTCTCCAAATGACAGTCCTTTAAAAGGGGTGTTGTTCTTTAAAGCAGAACTCCGGGCAAAAACTTCTTTACATATCCTTGTTGCTGATTTCCTACCTTCACTGAATATGTCATCCATTTTCTGGTTCACTCAGTAGTTGCTCTGAAATAGCTTATTCATTTTCAAATCAAACCATTAATTCTCTTTTGGTTTCCTGTTTGTAAGACCAGTGGCTGCTATGTCTCCTCTTCCCCCAGCCACTTTTCTCTTAAATGGTAAGGATTTTTAAAATGTTACTACCCGTTTAGTATTCTGTGTAGGGGGATGTACTAATGGGTGATTTTTTTATCTATCCCAGAGTTCTTCTTTAAAGGTGTCTCAACCCAGTCCCTGGCCACCACAAGGAATACATCCAGTAATACTATTCAGGGGCAGTTGATAGCACAGGTGTTATACCTCTTGGTGCGCCTTTCAGCCTAGTGGTTGAGGGATCCTGGCCTGGTTACCAGTCTTGAGGTTAAGTTTTTAATCCGATTGCTGTGTCTACACAATTGCTGTTCTAAATATTTACCTCTGTGTAAGTATTAGTAAGTAAAAAGACACAATAAAGACAAATTTGTGAGCAAATGTGAGCAATTTTACAGTTGTTGCAAAGGCAAGACTATTTTTTACCTTAATGCATTCCCTGTACTAAGGTAAAAAATGGCCCTGTATTTGTATGCCCCCCCCCCCCCCCAAATACTTACCTGAGTCCTTAATCCATTCCGCGCTGGCTGGCCATTGGCTCCTGCTACTGTCAATCAAAACCTGTGAATAAGAGTCAGGGCTAAGCCATGAAGTGTGTGTCTGTTGATGTACACAGCCCAACTTGGGAGCGAACCCGCAGGTGTGCCACCATAGCAAGTGTCTTGCTATGGTAGAACACATAGAAGAGGAAGAAACCCAGAGTGCCTGCTGTGAACCCCAGAAGATGAGGTTCTGGGTTGCTCTGTGCAATACCATTGCACAAAGCGGGTAAGTATAATATGTTTGTTATTTTAGAAATAAAGCCTTTCCAACCGCTTTAAGGGTACCTAAAAAGTCCCAGAAGGCTTCAGAATGTATGGTGTCTAATGTGTGTGCGGGTGTGTGTTTTGTGTGTTCTTGTATAGGTTTTTCTATTCTATTTATGACCTGTTGTGT